GTCTTTGTCTTCCGGAGGATGGTGGTGAGACGACCCTCCACCATCAATAGCTCCGCCGGCAGGATTGCTTGGAGGTCGGACCATCTTAGCGTGGCCCAGACCTTGACCAACTTAGCCCAGGCCCAGACACGCCAGCCCACCGCCAGGGCGGGGTTGACCACCACCAGCTCTAGCTGCACCAGCATGTAAACGGGGTAGCGCGGAGCCCTCTTGATCAAAGGGGCTCCCTCCGCTAGCTGTTCCACTATGCTGTCCTTAGCGGCCCAAACCAGGCGGCCAAAGGTGGTTCGTAGCTCGACCGAAAAGTCGGCCACCTTCTCCATCCAGGAGATAGCCTTGAGAATAGCTTCCGGAACCGACCGGCCGCAAGGTTCATCGCTCCTAGCGAGGAGGTAGTCCACCAAGTCGGCAGCGGTGCCCGGAGGCGGCCTGAGTTTAGCTGCGTGGAGCCACTGGCGCCACTGCCTGTAGTAGCTCAGGTAGCGTTTCAGCGTAGAGGCCCGCGTCTTCCCTGGCAGCAGCATAGCTGCCCGCACGGGATCCAGGCTCCCCTGAAGCTTAGCGAGAATAGGGGCACGCATCTCTAGGCTCCTCATGGAGCTTCCTAGCCCATACTTCCAGCAACCGTTCCTCCCTAGCGGCACTGATCGTGCCGGGCTGTAGCACCTTTCGGTTCCGCTCCCCGGGGGGAGGTCTTAGCGGCGCCATAGGCTGGCGCGTAGCTTCTTCGACCCCCTCTGTTGGAGCCGGTAGCGGGGGCATCCGTGCCCTCCATGCCGTGCTTCCTGTAGCCAGCAGTAAACCTGTCTAGCGTGCGCCTACGTTCCTGCTGGACTGTAGCCTGCGCATCTAGCTCTGCCTCCACCTCCCAGCCCTCGAAGAGCACTCCTGTCTGCGGGACCCACGAGGGTACCTCCCTGGAGGGAGCCCCGCGGTGTCGTCCGCCCCTAGCTCCGTGGGAACCTCGGTTGGACACGAAGAACTTAGCGGGGGCGGGGAATCCCCAACCACAGTAGCGCAGTCGACGGCTGTAGCAGCTGCACCATCTGGCGTGGTCGGCGCCAGGGTAGCGTCGCTGTCCGACATGGCAGCGCACCCAAAGCAGGGCTAATTAGCCCTGTTCCCCTTCCTACCCCCACTCGAAAATTGCCCCCCAGTAGCTGGGGGCCTTTCAGCACAATGGCCACGGAGTAGCGCATGCTTCACCGGCCATGTGCAGTCACTCTAGCAAACAGACAGGCTTCGTTCTGTTTAGCTTCAGAGGAAAACCCCTTCGACGTTTTCTAGCGAAACACCTTCGATGTTTCCAACAAGGATACTAGCGCTAGCATACACTGTCGTACCTCGTGCCTCGGCACGAGTGCTGGTCTTCCTGGTCCACTGCTCCTTCCAACCCGGCGGCTCGGCAGAGAAGGCGTATCTGCTGCAGTTCTTGACGGCGCCGGAGTCCGGAAACTCAGTCGACACGGCTTTGTCGTTGGCCCGGAAGTGGGTGAGACTCTTGAGGCGTGGCAAAGAACTTCAGGTTGTGCTGCCGGATCCGAGCCTCTTGTGCCGTGGCTTGGACAAACTGCATGGGGGAGTCTTTGCGGGCAACAGACACCCCAGTGCGGCCTTTCGCATAGCCAGCTTCAAGTTGGAACGTCAGTTGGACTACAAGGCCATCGCCAAGGACGTTGAGGACTATGCGCAGTTGATCCTTGGTGAGTTGGAGGCTGCTTTGCTTGCGCAGCCATTGCCGATGCGGGCAAGGGCAAGGCCAAGGGCAAATCGCGGCAACCTTGTTGGGCGTGGTCCGATGGTTCGGGCTGCAAGTATGGCCAGAACTGTATGTTTCGCCATGACTCTCTGGGCCCAGGTCGCTGCTGGACATGTGGAAGCAGTTCCCACCTCAAGCCGCAATGCCCATTGCATGGGCAAGGGGGGGCGGCCCTACTACTACGTCGTCGGCGGCTACGGCTGGAGGTGGTGGTGGTGGTTCGCAAAATTCGTCTTCGGCTACTGCGACTTCTTCGGCAGCGGCATCGGATGGGAAAGGTGCGGGGGACGATAAACCTTCGCGGAGACCGAGGAAGAAGGGCGGTGGCAAAGCCAAAGATGCAGTGAGGAAAGCTGAGGAAGGCTCTGCAGGTGATGGTGGAGCTGCTGCGGCGGCTTCGTCGGCTACTACCAATACCTCGGTGCCTTCGGCGACTTCGGGTGAATCGGCCCGCGAGGACTTCTTTGAGGAGGCGGCGAAGGCTTTGAAGTCTTTGAGATTGGCCCGAGCTACTTTGGATCGGGTGAATGCTCTTGGTGTAGGTGCGGTTCGTCGTGCACTGGTGGATTCAGGAGCGACTACCTCGATGAGATCGGCTGGGGAGCGGGAACTTCAAGGCTTGCCTCAGAGGAAGGTGTTGTTGGCGGAGGGCGGGACGGTGTTCTACCAGCTTCCCGGCGGGACGCTGTTGACCGAGAAGGCGACCGCCCCAATCCTTTCCATGAGCGACCTGATGGAGATCGGCTGCCGTGTGGTGTGGAGTCCCGATGAAGGTTGTCACATCACTCACCCGGTGCGCGGGAACTTGTGTGCTCGAATCTTCAATGGTTGCCCTGAGTTGGACGAGCAGTTGGGTTTGGACCTTATTGCGGAGGCCGAGGCCACGAAGTTCCGACGTCGGGAAGCCGAGCTCATGGTGAACAAGCTGGTGATGCAGTGTGCCTGAAGCCTGTGGGCCTGGCTTGGGCCTGGCTGTATCGGGCCTTCCCCAAGGCCCCTTCTTGGCTTCTCTCGGCCATTCCGGTGGCGGCGTCTATGGATGGAGGCAAGGTTCCATGGAACCGTCGTGAGCGAAAGCGGTGGAGGCAAGCTTCGGCGGTGGCGGTCCACTTGTTCTGTGGAAAGGACCGTGGGTGCTGGAAGTGCAGGGCTGAGGCGGCCCACGTGGTTACTGTGGACCAGGCGGAGGACATCATGGCTGATGATACCTTTGCGGCCTTGCTGGATCTGGCGCTGGCTGGAAAGATCAAGGCGGTCTTTGGAGGGCCGCCTCGTCGAACTTACTCGGCCCTGCGCAATCTGGGGACGGATGGCGATGGAGGTTCGCGACCGCTACGTGATCGCGATGGACCTGGAAGATGGGGCCGTGAAGGACTTTCGGAATGGGAGCAGTGGAGGGTCCGGCAGGATACGATCATGGTTTTTCGGATGATCTTTCTTTGGATGGTGGCAGCGGCAGTGGCCAAGGGTAGTGGAGATCGCCTACAGGATTTTCTCATGGAGCACCCTGAGGATCCGAAGAAGTTTCTGAAGGAGGCCGCTCCGGCGTCGTTGTGGGCCACTCCGGAGATTCGCCTTTTGGAAAGGACCCTTGGGTGGCACGCCTGGGCATTTGATCAGGGACCTCTCGGGCATGTTCGTCGACTCCCTACCAGGGTGCTGTCGTCGGTGAGATGTCCGCCGGAGTTTCCATCTACAGTTTCGGTGGAGGAACGGGACCATGATGGAGCGGGTTTTCGGTCAGCATCCTGGGCGGCATGGGCTCCTCAGCTGCATGTCGTGATCAAGGACGTCATTGAGGCTAGCCTTGCGGGCGCGGCCTTGGAAACCCTCCGGAAGATGGATGCGGCGTTCTTGGAGCATCTACGACGGGACCACACCCCGTATCGGCGGGACTGTCGGGCTTGCCTTGCTGGAGCTTTTCGTGGGCACCTTCATCGACGCATTGTCACGCCGGAGGCCTGGTGTTTGTCCCTCGATCTCATCGGGCCAACGCGACAGGGTCTGGATGAGAATCTGAAGAAGGTGAAGTATGGACTCATCGGGTCTTTGGTGGTTCCGGATGTGCTGGGCAAGCTCCTTCAACCCACCGATCCAGAAGGGGAACCTGATGATGGAGCCGGGGTGGGTTTCATGGACGACGAGGACCCTGTGCTTGCTGGGGGAAGCGAAGCGGATGATGAGGGTGAGGCTCCAGACGCGCGTGACACGGAGAAGAACTTAGCCAAGTGGCAAGCGATGGCTGAGAAGGAGAATGTTGAGGGAGCCTCGGTGGTGGAAGTTCCCTTCTTTGTCCCGCTAGCGTCTAAGGCAGCCCCGGAGGTCTTGTCGGCGACCAAGGAGATTCTTCTACAAGTTCGGCGCCTTGGCTTGGTGGTCCGACGGATCCATACCGATCGAGGGCGAGAGTTTGTCAATCGAGCCTTCCGAGGAATGTGTCGGGACCGGGAAATTGTGTACACCTCGACCACTGCCGATGACTTCCGAGCCAATGGTCGTGTCGAAGCTCTGGTGGGCCGCGCAAAGTGTGCGGTGAGGACTTACTTGGCCAGTTCGGGCCTTGGCTCAAATATGTGGGCCTTTGCGATGCGGCACTACACGGTCCGGATTCGACAGGCGGTGGCTACTCAGCTTGGAGCTCGGCTGCCTCGCCTTCCACCTTTCGGGACCAAGGTCTTCGTGAGGAAGCGGTCGTGGCAGATGAAGAAGGAGGAGTTCACCGAGAAGGTTGTGGCGGCTCACATCCTTTGTCCTTCTTTGGATGTGTCGCGTGGGTTCTTGGTGAGGACCGAGGACGGCAGCTACTTGACGACCATGGTGGCGGTGGAGAATGTCAAGGAGGTGTCCGGTGAGTTTGAGGTTGATGCCCCACCTGCCCCTTCGGGAGAACCGGGAGCCCGGCGTCGCATTCATGGCAAGCAGCCTATGGTGGCGTCCCTTGAGGAGTCTGAGTACGTGGACAAGCTTGCGGTGTGCGACGATGAGCACCTAATTCAGGATGAGGAGCTGGCGGAGGCCTTCTTGGATGCTGGTGATTTCTCAATGGAAGCTGTGGAAGAGCTGCTGAATGGATTGTGGCTTGCTGATGTTCGCGCTCCCAATCGTCGCGGAGGAGCCTTTGACCACAGCCAGTTTATTTCGGTCCACACGGCAGGAATGTTTCGGCATGGAGGAGTTGTTGGAGCCACCAATTTGGCTCGTCACCGACCTGCCCTTACGAAGTTTTTGGTGACTGCTATGCATGAAGAACCTCCTTCCAGAAGGCACCACCTTTACTACCTTGTCCCTCAACTTCAATAATACGATGCAGTGCCACCGGGACAGCAACAATGAGATGGGCACGAAGGCCTACTTGGTGGCTTGTGGAGCGTTTGTTGGCGGTGCTCTATGGTGTCATGACACTGCCGTCAAGGAGGATGTGACCTGGAACAAGGTGCAAGGCCGTTGGCTTCCTGGCATTGCTCGGCCTACTTATCATCAACTCGTGTCCTTTGACCCTCACCAACTTCATCAGCCCCTTCCCTGGGAGGGAATGCGCTACACCATCACGGCCTACACCGTGGGCTGCGGGGGCAATTGCGTCAGCCAGGATCGTCATCTACTACAAGGATTGGGATTTCCTCTTCCACCACATGTTCGGGCTGGCCCCGAAGGAGGAGGCAGTGGGGTCAGAGGAGAGATGAAGAGCCTGCGGCGTCCAAAAAGCGCGTTGAGGAAGTTTTGCGGAGCTTTTTCGTCTTGCGCAGAGTGTGACCTGGTTCCGGGGGAGGATCAGACCTTGGAATCTTCTCTGGTTGGTGGTGGAGTCAGTCAGGGTGATCCAGTTTGTGTTTGCAAAGGTCGCGAGGTGGATCCGTCGTTGTGTACGTGCAGAGTGTCTGAGGTGAGCGGTGGTGGAGTTCCCCAGAAGTTCTACATCGGCGACGAGGGCCTCGATTACGGCACCGAGGCTGAGATCAATGAGGAAGGTTCTCGAAGGGATGATGGGGGCCCGGCACAGTGGGGAGCTTTTGGTCCTCCTACGGTGGCCAAGCTGGAACCTTTGGATGGGAACGACGTCGAGTCCTACTACTTGCTGGGCTCCGAGGTTCCTCTGGAAGTCGGCTGGGACCTGTTCGAGGGTCACTTGGATGATCTTCGCTTGGCTACCGTGCAGGAAGAGTATGCGGAGAGGGAACAAGCGATTCAGCGAGGAGAAGCCGGTGATGTGGCTGAAGGGCCGCTGCCTCGTTGGATTGAAGCTCGGGTTCGTCTTGAAAGCCTGATGGAGAACTCGTCGAAATGGGACGAGGAGAAGGCCCTTGACTCGGTGCGTAAGACCGAGGTGCTCGAGGATCCCGATGAGGCGCCTTTGCATACGAAGACCATCCCCAACGAGGTGGTGAGACGGGAGCTTCAGCGCTGGGCTCCTTCTATGTTCTCTGAGTATGAGAGCTTGGTGCGGGAGAATGAAGCCGTTGAGCCTTTCACCGAGGCCCAGCTTCAGGAATGGAAGGATGCTGGCCGTGATTACGACTTGGTGCCGGGCAAGACCGTGCACACCATCAAGGCGTTCTCTGGGCGCCTGAAAACGAGGGCGGTGATTTGCGGGAACTTTCTGGCCCAGTCGTTTGCCCGGGAGCAGAAGTATGCGGCCGGAGCGGACAGCGTGCTCATCCGTCTTGTGCTTCGTGAAGCTGCCCGTCGAGGATGGAGACTGGCCGTGTTGGACGTCAAGACGGCTTTCCTTCTAGCTCCGCTGTTGTTTCAGGAGAAAAGACCTACGTTGGTTTTGGTTCCGAAGCTGTTCCTGTTGGCGGGTATATGCAAGGAACCGATGTGGAGAGTTCGCAAGGCTTTGTACGGTTTGTCCACCTCGCCGAAGAGCTGGGAGGCCTACCGCAACCAGGTGATGGCCAAACTTCGCGGACGTGTGCCCGGAGGTGAAGTTACCTTGATCCCTTCTGGTGTCGATGATAGCCTGTGGTATGTGCAGGTGGGCACTCGACGAGCCGGGGCAGTGATCTGCTATGTTGATGATCTGCTGATTGCCGCGGAGCCGGGCGTCGCCGAGGAGGTGGCTCGTATGTTCACTACTACTTGGAAGTGCACGGAGCCACAGTGGGATGATGTTACCTTCAACCCACGTCGTGAGCACCATCCTCCTCCATCGGCACGCCCTGGTCTTCAGGCTGAGCCACAGGCACCTCCTCCGGACCTGTGTCGGCCCCGTCCGCATCCATGGCGCGCCAACGGCTTACGACTCCTTTACCGGAGCGGCGTTGGGCTCATAACCCCCGAATGCGGAGGTCACGCTTGTTTTGGAACCGAAAAGCCTTTCAAATCAGACGTGTCAACATGCTTTACATATGCGGAACATCCCTCTTCCCAGACACACTTCCAGTTGCGTGCACCCACCCTGGGAGAGCAGGGTAGCCAGGGATTGCCCAAGCCAACAAAGCTCGAGATGATTTCCGGAGGACCATCCAAGGAGTGGGAGGCATGGTGCAGGCATTACCGAAAGGCTTACGGTATCATGCTTGGCAATTTCGGCTACACGCCTGCCAAGAGCATCAATGGTATCATATACGATGAAGATGGTACCACGGATATCGTGAGTGCACCTGTCTGGAACCCAGCCGATGCCCTTGTGGCGATCTCGATCCATGGGATCAGAGCGGTTACGACCATGGCCTCCACGATCGCGTTTGGGGGTGCTCCGCCAACGATCAAACCGGCGGTTCCCGGCAAGCCGCAGAGATTCGTTGTCATGCACGACGGTCTCTTGACCTTCAGGGCTGCCAAGTCCTGGCACGATGGTGAGATGAACGCTCACCTGAAGAACGCGCTGGCCAGCTTTGGGTTCCCAGATTCCGAGGTGCGCGTACAAGCGTTCGATGATGGCTTCAAGCTTAAGGACATGGTCGACACTCTCGCGATGATGCAGAGCGACGCCTCCGTCCCGTCGTCGAACGTCCACATCCTCATTCTTTGGAGAGGAGAAGACTTGTGGAAGCTGGACCAAAGCTGGAGTAAGCTTACCGGTGACATCGATACGGCACGATCACAATACGCCAAGACGACTGCCCGGGAAGCTCTCGAGGAATACAACACGATCTACGGGTCGGTGTCCGTGTCACCGAGCATGGGACACCTTCCGACTCTCCCCGGACCTCTCTTCGAGAAATACAGAGTGGAAATGAGGGCGATCTGGGATACGATCAGGAGATCCAATTTCCTCACACTGTCTTTTGACGCTATCCTCGAGGGGCTACCGTTCCTGAAGGGGTATCATATTATGCATGAGTCCAAGACGATTGGGGTCTTGTGTACTCGCATCTGCTCGATGTTCACGCTTGCGGCTCTTGCGCGGTTTCCATCCTACGGGACCCGTCAAGAGTATCAAACCGCAACCGACAAGATGTGGGAGCGCACCCCGGTCCCGGTAGAAAAGCCGAAAGGCACTCCACGGTGCAGGACCTAATCGAAGGGGCAGATCGCGGTCCCGATAACCGAGCCGCAAAGACCGTCAATATGAGTCAATTCGGCTTTGATGACGATGATGATGAAGACCTGGCCGACAGCGCAGGTCCATCTGCACCCAGGATTCCGATCAAACAGGAACAGGGAACCTTGGCAGAGCTTCCGGGCGTCCGTCACCCGGAACCGATTGTGCTGCCCGCGACTCCTGTGCCTGGACAGGCAATGCCGGTGTCTCCCAGCCTTGCTCCGGCTGCTAAGAACGATGAAGAGTCTAGCGGCGATTCCGATGATGAAGAGCAGCAAGGGGACGGAGACACGGAGATGTCTGCCGCCAAGAAAGAGGAATTCGATGAGGAATTCAATGCTTCTCGACCAGCACGTTGCGGCCGGATCTATAGATAGAGCCTGTTAGCCACATAGAGCCGGATACCACATAAGTACGGATGAATAGCTTTTTTTGCTACAGAAAAATTTTAGCCGATCTTGACATCTTCAAGAAGCCGCAAAAAAAAGATTGGAAACGCATCCGTCCATGATCGTTTCAAAAAAGGTATACCCACGAACCCCTGCGTGGCCGTGTCAGCGCACCATGATCCGAACGAAAAGCCATGTGAACGCAAGCTATATATTCACTTTATACAATATATGTTGAAGTTATAGTAATGGATTTTGGAGTCGCTGCAGTATCGCGCACACATATATTATACCCACACCCATACGCTGGACGGCGGAGAAGTAATCGTTGTAAAAAACGTTGAGTAAATACATATAATCAACAAAACATATGGTATGCATATAGGCGTCCTTATACACTATGTGTATATATATATAAAAAAAAATGTATATGTATTATTATGCATAAAAGCAAAAATCTTCTGTGTTTCCTGAACGCGCGCGCGCGCCCCCCCAGCGCGCGCGCGCACCTCCCCCCCGCGCGCGCGCGCGCGCGCACTTCCCACCCCACGCGCGCGCGCGCGCGCCGAGGAGCGCGCGCGCGCGTGACTAAATTGTTTATATACAGGGACATATAAATATTCCATATCTAGAACATATCCGCAATCATTCGAGAATCACTTGGTGCTATTTATAAGGAAATCAAACATGTTGTGTGATTTCTGCAATCGGGCGCGCGGGCGCTCCTCGCACGCGCGCGCGCGGCGCGCGCGCGCCCTCGCACGCGCGCGCGCGCATGCCGCGCGCGCCCCCCTCTCTGGGCGCGCGCGCGCGCATCCCGCGCGCGCGCGCGGCCAGTAGCGCGCGCGCTTAAATTGTTTATTTTTACGGACATGTCAATATTCCATATCTAGAACGCATCCGCAATCATTCGAGAATCATTTGGTGCTATTTAAGGAAATTATTTAAAATGCTGTGTGATTTCTGCAATCGGCGCGCGCGCGCTCTTTTGCGCGCGCGCGGTGGAGGCGTGCGCGCGCTGGGGGGGCGCGCGCGCGCGCGTGGTTTTCGCGCGCGCGCACTATACAATTTTCAAATATTTCTATTTCACGCTCCAAAACACAGACTGTGCGTGGTGTTGTCTCCGCGCGAGCGTTGTTCTTCCTCAGAACGAGTTAACCATGAGAAGCCAGAGTACTGCTTCGTTGCAGCCAATCAAGAGCTAGAATAATGTGCAGCCCATGGGTGAGAGCGCAACTTGAGCCAAAAGAGGAAGCAAAATTGAGCTTGAGCCAAACAGCGTAAAATCAAAAACATATGCTACAAAAAAATGTCTTATCTGTAACTGTGTGAGAATATAGTATGTTGTGCATGTTTGCATACAGAAGTATGTATGTAGTATACGTATATATATATATATATATCTATATGTATATATATATATATATGTATAGCTTATTGAGAGGAGGAGGACTGAGGAGCGAGAGGAGAGGAAGGAGAAACATGTGAACACTGTCTGATCTCAGCGCACTTGTCGCACTCAGCTGTTTTCATTCCCGCCGTGCCAAACAGAACTGCAACACATAGCGCAGCAGAACATGCCGCGACATCCAATTAGCATGGCTTCTGAGAGCTAGAGCCTTGGCACGTCGCACGAAATCTTCTCCTAAAAAGTTGGAGGTATATCGTGGGTTGCGAGGAAGATAATCCAGTACAGCGTGCTCCCACTGATGCAATTTGGGCCTGCAATGCCATCTTGGCAGTTGCAGGCTCAAGGCGCGCTGCGCTAGATGATTGTAGCCTCCTCGCATGACGAGGTAGTCATTGTAGAAGCGTTCACAATCAAATCGATTCAAGAACCGGTCGCCATGCAACATGATTCGCTCCATGGACGCAAACGCCCAGCAAACCCCTGCAATCCAGTAGTGGAAGTTGCTAGCTTGCTGCCCCAGCTTCTGAAGTGCCATCTCGCCCAAAACAGCGAGGAAGAATATCATGTATCTGCAAGCTGTGGCATTCATCACTTTTTGACTTATCTCGACATACTGATTGTTCTTGAGGATAGCCGTACTGAAGAGCTTCCTCTGCGCTCGCTCCACGATGTTTCCATCTTCGCACCATGACCTGTAGAGCTGCCACAGCTCTTCCAACCTATCATCACGTTTTCTTCCAGAGAAAATCGATTCATCATCCGTGTATTCCAAGAAAACCGAAACGACCACATCCGGTATCACGGCTAAGTGGAGAATGTGCATGACGTCAGGGTACAGTCCTGAACTGCATCGAGATACACGACACACAGTTGAAAATTCACGAGCGAGCTGACATCGCTTTACACACCGGAACGCAGGCCAGGCACTCCAAGGATCAAACCCAACGATGCTCGTGAGCGGTGTAGCCCCGTTCAAGCCGATGAACTCGTTGACATTCACAAGCCTCGAAACATTACCACCAAACCACAATTATTTCCAAATTCTTTTCGATGAAGTTCTACATTTTTTGAAACAGCAGAACTTATAAGGAAACAAGGCCCATGGCTCTACGTAAATATCCCCGCAACAGAATCCCAGCAGAGGCGCGTGTGGCGATGTGCAGCAGTCCTCCCCCAGCGGGTGTACAGGAGTTCCGGGTCGTTGTCTCCCGTCGGCGGCATGTCGGCTCGCACCCACTGTATTGCTTTGCAACAGTGACAGCATTGCTGCCGCGAAAATACACGCTGTAAATCGAAGAGAATCTTGAGATAATCTTGGTCGGCTTGCACGCCATCCAGCACAAAAGTATACTCTCCCGCGATTCTCGTGCCTGCCAATCCAGACTCCAGCGGGTTGCCCCATGCATCCACTGAGGGATACGTAGAGCTGCCTTAGATTGTTTCGACGAATATATTGCAACCCGTCCAAATCCAGAACATTGCGAGTGTGGTGAGATATCTGTAACCAGATACAGGACTCAGAATCATAAGCAATGATACTTTTGCTGTAGGAGACTATTCTCAAAAAGTTTGTGGATTGAATGTTTGGACTGAGCCTTGGAGTCTCGGCCATGGTTACCAAAGTCCAGAGTTTATTGTGTAGTTCAGGCAGTTAATGTGGCATCGATATATAACCGTCCGGGAAGCTAAGAGCATTGAAGCTCCATGCCAGAACCTGAAGGATCTTGTTCCGAGCAGCTGCTGTGTGCAATGAAGCGTTCGCACAGGAGAGCCTCAGAATAACTGCACATTCTACAGGTGGACATGGACCCACATGACCGCCGTTAACAGTGCTGCCTAGAGACAACCAGCGATTGTTCAAAGTTGTTGAAGACTTCCCAAGAACGCTCTGCAGCACTAGGATTTCGAACTTGTGAGATCCTCGGCTTGCTGAGTTATATGAGATCATGCGTGGGCCGACCGCAGACTTTGGCTTTCTTACAAACAGGGTCGCCATATCACACAAGGCAAAAATCCTGAACCCTGAATTTCCCAACTGCAGAGGATGAAGCCATCGATCACACACTTTGCATGCATGCTGGGTTTCGGAATGCTTCGGCGCCGTCACCATAGAGGCGCAGTGGGATGCACTTGCTCAAGTCGACACCAGCGGAAAGCACAGGATGTTGTCGGAACCATTCGGTGTCCCGTTCCATTTCCCAGTATCGCCTGGCATCCTCAAGTTGCTGCTGCCCCAACATGCATTTAGTTATCATCGACTAGTGGGCTTTATAAGCACACTACACCACATAGATCGATCAGTCAAGATTGGTTTGCACCGCCTATAAATTAGTGTTGCTTCTGCAGAAGAGTGCGGTACCAAATATAAGCCATCACTCCACAGACAGGACTCATCAGCATCTCCCGTGAGTAGGTCCATGAGCCCAGAAGCATAGAGCCGGCCGACAACCTCGTGAGGCAATAGCATCTCGTGCTGCTGCGTGTCGGGGATCGCTCGGCCGTGCATATCGAGGCGCTCCTCAGCTGAATACGCTCTTTTAAGATCATACATAGAAAAATTCAGGGCCGGCACATAGAAGATTCTTAGTCTACCGCGCGTCGGGCTCCGAGTTTGAACTTCGGTATTCTAGTGTGTGTTGTGAGGTTGACAATTTTTTCGCACCACGGTTCTAGTCCAAGCAGCGATGGGGACTGTCATCGAATAGTTCTGCGGTAGGACTTGCCCTCACATAAGGCAAGCATATATACAACCATGAGACTTGTTGCACTGCGCCGCAACCTGGGATAGCATGGCATATTGCATTCGAGATTCGCCAGGGCTGCTCATTGATCCACTTTGCCAGTGCATTTCCTAGACCTCGAGATGATGCAGCAGCTTGCACAATCTCCAATAACCGCGCAACATCTTGCCTTGGATCCACAAAGCAAGTTCAGTTCGGCAGCTTTCACGCACAACGTGAGTCATTGCATTACAAGTCTCGGTATAAGATAATACGGCACATTGTTGAAACGACCTCAGCATCAGGATGGATCTTCGAGTACATGCGAGATGGCTGAGACCGTGACTCAGCAAGGATCTGAGTCTTTCCATTGGGACCTGCTGCAGCATACCATGTCTATACTTCAGAAACACATATGTTCGATCTGTCCAGCCTCACCAGCTCCCAGCATTTCGAAAAACTCATTGACTGTATCATGGACGAGCTGCGTAGCCCATTGGGCTTTCGACATGCTGACACATTTGAAAGGGTTCACAGTGCTCACATGTTTAGGTTTGGAAGACTAACCTTGTATGATCTTGGAGATTCGGATATAACAGAGGCAGGATATGAAAATGAGGTTTCGGGCTTCAGGGTTCATCTAAGGTTTCGTGGGTTTTGGGTTAGATAGTTGCACGAACATTTCGGGTGTGGGATCTACATAGGCCTTTAATACAATGGAGTAGGAACTAAAGTCTTCAAGCCACGGATGATCGAGGCATCACATCGCTGGCGAAGTTCCTCGAATTATCTCTAGGAGCGACAACAGACAGCCACACACTCTTTGCACCGGCAGTGCGCACTCGTCTAAAGTCTAGGAGCAGCCTGCGGCAGCTTGCGGGCATATCCCCTCCCAGCATCATTGCATGCTGGATTTGACACTGAAGATGCCTCGCTTGATGATGGTCATGGTGACGGTGATAAACCATGAGAAGTTTAAGTAGAATGTTCTTCCGGCAGTGACAATTCCTCAGTGTTGAACCTGATGATTTGGTGGCTTTGGCTTCTACAGATGGAGCTTGGAGTCTTCAGGCAACCAACATGATCGATGCCAGACGCCTGCTAAACCCTGCTGCAATGCTTAGCATTGAACAGGCTGCGCCTCGAACATTATCGGCATCCGATGTTTCTTGGATGCTCTAACTCGCTTGCGACCGGGATCGAGTTGTGGCAGCAGGGCGGAAAGTAGTTCGCTGTAGACTCTGGGGCACTCGATAGGCAATTGAGGCAATTTGCTCTGTCTAAAGGGGTTCAATATACACTGAAAACCACCACACTCGATCCTCAATCAAGGACTCTGCACGGCGCGATCGGCTGACATCGATGACACTGCGACACTTGCCTGATTCATGCAGCCTCGGGATGTTTTAGAGGTATCAGCAAGCAGTGCACCAACAATCCTACCCGACCAAGCTTACAGCTTGAAAACTCATGACGATGCTCGATAAAGAAGCCTAGGCATTTTCCTCCCACTCCTCACCCCAATCTTCGGTTTCTCCGGTGTTCCATGCTGCCCATTCATCCTCGGCCTTCGCTTTTTTTGCATTCTCCTCTTCCTCTTTCTTCTCCTTTTCCCGCTTTCTCTTCTCGGCCGCGACCCCTTAATTGTGAGAACAAACTCGATCCGATAGCAACACACATGCATGAGTACACCCAGCTGAGGATGAGACGGCTCTCGTGGGCTTTGACGATGGTTTCTGCTGACGCGACTTGCTTCTCGAAGTCCTGCAACTTTGGCTTGGATGCAGCTTACACCTGGGTCTTTCGGGCTTCGGGGTTGGACGTTCGGTCTTCAGCAGGCTTCATGGGGTTTGTGTAAGGCCGTGGTGCATGTGGGGATTTAGCATGTGGGGTCTACGCGCATGAAGGGCTTAGGGTTTGCTCTTGGTGTTTACATTTTTCCTCCTAACTTGTATAGGTATACGACGAACCTACGACGCAGGGCCTGTCTCTATAGTTCAGGTTTACTTAAAGGATCATGGGACTTAGTAAGTAGGGTTATAAGTAGGTTATAGTTAGGATAACTACACTTAGGGGCAATTATAACCTACTTACTAAGTCCCATGATCCTTTAAGTAAGATTATTTGGGAGTTTGTCGCACAACAGTCTACAGTCCGGCGCCTCACAGCGCTCTTTCTCCGTATTCAAGACATACGCATAGTTCTCGAAGGTGTCGCCGTTAAAGATCATCTCATTGACCCTGTAGCAGCAACAGCCCTTTCAATTCCAGGGCAAGCTCCAGACCGACTTAAACACGAGGATTGCAAACAGGAAGCCTTGCATGCAGCTCCATCAGCTGCCCATAGACCGACTTCAAGCTTTGCACGGTAGCCTGCATGCAGCTGAATATGTGAAGGCACACAAAAACTCCGAAAAGGAGGCCGGTGAAACCTCCTGGTTCAGGAGCTTTGCATCAATGATATTCTTCGCAGTCACGCGTGCTTTGCTGGCCAGAGCATGCACCCTCAGAGGCATTCATCACGACATCCAGCACAAAGCATTCGACTCGAGCACGGCTGTCAAAGTCAGGGCACGCTTGCAAATCTCGATCGAACTCTTTCTGCTGCTTCTCGTCGTGCGTAAGCTCCTGTTCACACAGAACAAAACGGAGGGCCGATGTAGTCTAGTAGGAAAAGCGACAGAAGTAGCTGTGGCTTCCCAGCTGATGCCGGATTGGAGCCGGCGTTCTTAGGGTGTGGGCTTGAATTTCGTAGATCCTAGGCTCTACTTTAAAAAGCTCAGACGACAAACAATCAATCTGGCAGCGCCTAGGATGATATGCTGTTCTTCGGACTTCGGACGATGATCACAATGACGGCGTGGAGACAAAGATGGTACAAGTTATCGTGGCTTTGACACTAGCGATGCATATACGAAGTGACATGTAAGGCCTTCTTGTCTTTCTTCGTCTTTGGCTGCTTGTCAGTCTTGCCGGAGCTTTTCGTCATCTCTGCACACTTGCTTGCCAAGGACTCCGCCAGGGCATTTCTGGCTGCAGCATTCTTCCCGACCCGCGCCGTGCCACGCAGCTTGGTTGAAAGCTGCGACACATTCGAGCCTCAGGTACACTCTCGTATGTTTACAAGAAATCAACACTCGGACCGCTTTCGGATTATTGAGCCGAGGGGCTTTTGTCCACTCCAGTCTGGTAGACTTTGTAGAGGCGCATCTCGTTGTTGGAGGGATCCTCGCGATCACATTGAATTGCACACTGACGCTTGCATGAGCATGTGTATGTGAAGAGCAGTCCTGTGGGTGCGGCCGCCCTGGCTGCTTTAAGATGACGTCGGTCAAAAAACGAACTTGGGCCGGGCTCGTGTAGGACTTCTTGAGCTCCTCTAGCGGCAATTCCACGAACACGTCCGCCGTTTTGCGCTCCGACATCCTTATTGCAGAACGAATCAATGCTGCTGTTCAGTCTGTGGTGCTGAGTGCCATCCAAGTCACTCCTTGAAGCAAGGCTCCACGTCGATGTTTTCCATGTCGGGGTCCAAAATGAACGCCTTCAAAAACTCGAACCTGCAGGGTGATCCAGTTGGGCTTCTGTGTTGCATGACAGCCCGATTGAGGTGCTGGCTTCTGTGTGGTGCCGCTGCAGTTCTGATACTTTTCGAGGAGTCCCGGCTTGAGTCCTGCAATGGTCAGGGATAAATTAGTGGTTCTATGTTGAGTGGCTGAAACGTGATCGGCCTCCACCGAGCAACTTGCGTCGGAGTGCTTCGTTCTGACGCTTCCGCTCCCCTGCATCCATCTGGTTGGGGTGGGTCATGGCCTGCAGACCGACCATCGTGCATGATAAGATCTTCGTCATGCTCTTGATGCAGCTTAAACCCGGCCTTTATGGCCTCTTTCTCCTCAGGCGACAGCACCTTGACCCTTTTCACCTGACCTTTCTCATCTTTCAACCCCAGAGGCCCAACTTCCGTCGCGCCGTCACCGTTGCTCGTGACGGTGAGGGATGACAACTGTCTCGGCATTCTCGTCAGCCTGGAATTAGGAACCGATAGAGTCGATAGAGCTTGGCCCGAATTTAAATTCTCAGCCCAGGACCGTGGCGGTGGCTCCGAGGGGCTCGGCGAGGATGCTGGCAGTGTCGGGCTCGCACTGGTGGTGCTGAGGCCTGGATGCAAGGGTGTAAGAATGGGTATCGGTTTTGGGCACAGGCGTATAATGCTCTGGGAACAGGTAAATATAGGGGTATGGGTATGGGCTGGGCGGGGTATGAGTGTGGGTGAATGCGGGCGTGCGCGATTGTATTTTGGGAGTGGGGGGTGTGTTGGGGGGCAGGTCGGGGGGGGGGGCGAGGGAAGGGGGGGGGGGGCGGTCGTATGGTTTGTTAGACAACTGTAAAAGCAGCAAGATTGCCGGCCTGTGTCACGTCGGCTCAGGGTGCCAGGCTTCGGGTTCAGCAGCTGCAGCAGGAAGTTGTTGTAGTTCTGCAGGTGCGGAATACAATCATTGGTACACATCTCCCACTGGA